GTTTGTTTGTTTGTTTGTTTGTTTGCTTGTACGTAAGAACAGAGGGGAAAACAGATATACTGGAAACAACACAGTTTTTGAGCCAGTTTAAATTATAAAAATGTGGATGTTCTTTTATTTTTGTTTTCTTTTATTAAACAACATAAGTTAACATCTGGTCTTATTTCGCGTTTCAATACGTGTTTATTTCCAGGCGATACAGAAGAAACTAAAGGAGCTGGAATACCGCTACAATATTCTAAAAGATTAGAAATGATTTTAATTGGTATACATTGCTATGTTATATGCGGGTTTTGCATTTTAACATTTTATTTTATACATTTTCTGCAGGTCTATAGGTTGTTATTAAAGCTTTGTTCTGTGGAACAAGTTAACCTGAAGCTTTGCGATTTAGATTAGATATAATAACACCGTTGCGTGAACGAGCCTTGAACTTTCAAAACGGAATGAGACACTTTTCTATGCATTACGGTAAAATAAAAAATGGCCGCACTCATTGTGCTTCCTGTCCTTGCAATACGCCGAAATGGGGGGAGTAACGGACAACTGCAGAAACCCAAAACATCCGCAGGGCTGGGTTAGCGCTGCCTAGCCTAAAATGTGGCTTTTACGGGTGATCTTTGAGTTTTTGGAAGCCATAAAACGGCACAATCCATGATCAGAAGGAGCCGATGATGTGGGACGCCTGTTATTAGGACCTTTAGCCCCCGCAGTGGTGAAATCCACGGAATGTTCCACACGGTAACAGCCGACCAGAGGATGCCGCACTTAGCCTGACGAGATGAGAGCGTTATAGGGGAAATATCACAGATGGTTGCATATTAACAATCAGGTAATTTCATTCTTTCAACTGTATGTTGCTTTGGCTCGGCGGAAATTCGCAAACTTGCGGGATTTTGTTTATGAAAGTGCTCTGCTAGTTTAGGATCGTCATCCTGCTAAACCTCCTCCAGCCCCTCCTTGTTTTGCTGCTACAGAGAGCGATGTTGTAATGTTTACATTTAGTGCATGTTCCATACGGCGGCTACTCCCCTTCCAGTGCCATAGGTGCAAAAGTTACACCATATTATGTCTCATAAATCCCACAGGCCTCACAAATCAGGCCGATGTTATTCTGGGGATTCCTAAGTGCAGCATCAGGTTTTGCAGCCGCAGTCATCGGCCTGCAAAAGAAATAAATGCAAGTTTTCTCTTTGACAGATGCTGAGAGCTGACTGGATCATGCAAGTGCATTATTATGTAAGAGGTTTTGGCCTCCAGTAAAGTCAGAAAGTTTGGAAAAATCAAATAGCGTTTATGTTTTAATGAAGTGGCTTCCTGTATGTACTAAAACATTTCTACAACTTACATCAATTATGAAAAAGAAAAGTTTAAAGTTGATCTGGCACTTATAAAATTAAATAATAGCTCTATGCTTGGTTGTAAAATGTGTAATATTTGAAGTTGAATAACTTCTCTCATAGAACATTACACACTTGGTAACTATACCACTTTATAACATAATCACTAAAGGTTTTATCCCCAGTTAGGCTTTGCAACAAACACTGCTCTAACAACAACTAAATAATTATAACTGCTTAATTTTTTGTTGCTATTTCCTCAGATTTTCATCCTTATATGCAGATATACAAAAAAATCTCACCAGGAAGTAGTTTTCAACCTTTATTTTTAGCTATGGATTAATAATAATGTTAGCTGTTTTTATTTTTGCAAAAAAAAAAATCATTAAAATGCGTTTAGCAACATAATTTTCCTTTTTTTATATACTTTATGTTTCTCTGAGGCAGCATTTGATTCATAAGGCAGCAACAACAGGCTTGTTTCTATACATTTTAGACTCTTGTCTGGGATGTCTGCTGTCTGCTATTCCCGCGCCCTGATTGGTCGTTGACACGAAGGGGGCGGGGCTTGGTCATAACAATGCACTTCAAGAATCATACACGCGCCAAGGGGATGTTTTCCGTCGTTGGTTTAATAACCGTCGCTTTTTACGGCTGTTAACGGCGTTTCCTGCTCAGGTAGTCGGTGTAACTAACGGTCAGCGTTTCCATGGTTTCCGCAGAACACGGCTCTCCTATGCAGCTACAGAGAGCGCGTGTAAGGTGGCTAAAGTTAGCGAGCTAATACTCTGTCGGGGACGTTTATTTTCAATATATCTAGTCGGAAGGTCCTCTGTTTATGTTTTATTATCGCTACAAGTTTTGTCTTTCGGACGATGAAATTCGCTTTGAAGGATTCCGAAAAGAATAACTTGTATGGGATACGATATTTCGGAAGCTAAAACACCTGCAGTCCTCTTCAGTCACCAAGGAAGGAAACTAGCTAAGAAAGTAAGCTGTTGTCTGTGTTTCGCCTCGGCTTATAGAAACCTGCTGAAGTGGTTGTGCGATTTCCCTGCTTTAACATCTAACTGTGCTTAAAGCGCACTAAACAAGGCGCCTATGTCTGGGCTGTGATTAGCGTGCTGCTCATCTGAAGCTGGGGAGTGTTGGACAAAGCACTAGCATAGCTTTGCTAAAAGGAAACCTTACGTTTTAATAGCTTTTAAAGACTTAAAGCTGATTAAAACCTGTGGTTTTTGCTATATCTCGATCCCCGCAATGATTATCATTGATCTTGTAGGAAAACTCTGGCTGCATAGCAGCTGCCTTGTAAAGTGTTTGATAGCGAGTAGTTCTGCATGCCTATCACATCTTTTGTTGTTGCTTTGTCCTATGAGCACATGGCATTGCATGTTTTTGTTAAGGAAAGCCACAGCGACCCCTGTTTATACCGCTGCGTTCTGTTATTTACATCCATGTATAATCATCAATTAATTCAAACTGTAAATATATCTATATATACATATACGGTGCTTTGCCTTTTTGGTATTTTATATACAAACAATTTTTCGTTTCTTTTGTATTTTGGGATAATATCTGGTGCCTAAGTAAAAAAACAAAATATCAACAATCTTACAGTTTAACATCCATTTATTAAATGCTTTCAAATATATATGATTATTTCATACAAATGTTTCATTAAAATAAACTAAAAGTATGTTTTACAGAATCCCTTATGGTGTTCAATTAATTAAAACTTTTAATTTTGACTTCTTCCAGTTTACTTCGCTACAACCGTCTATCTTAAAACTGTAATGTAGTGCTACGCTACTTACATCTTAAAACTAAATGTAATATACATACATCTGGTCTGAGAGGAAATACATTTTATTGCTTTTTTTTCACACCATAAAGCATGTCATATAAACTGCTACACAACTGTTGTTCCTTTGTGTTCCCGTCAAATTCAGTTATTTACATCCATGTATTATCATGAATTAATTTAAACAGTAAAAATATATATACATATATGGTTGTTTGCTTTTTTTGTATTTTATATGCACACTATTTTTCATTTATTTTGTATGTTGGGATAATATTATCTATTGCCTGAGGAAAAAAGAAAAAGAATCAACAATTATCTTAAACATAAATATCCATCTAGTATTTTTTTTCAAATCTAGGTTTATTTCATGCAAACATTTCATTAAAATAAACCACTAAAAGTAGGTTTAGCAAAATGTCTTATGGTGTTCAATTTTTAAACTTTAATTTTGACTTCTTCCAGTTAACTTCCCTACAATTTTGAACATCTGTCTTAAAACTGTAATGTTATTTTTAAATTTTATTGCTTTTTTTTCACACACCAAATAACATTTTATATAAACAGCAGTTCCCTGGTGTTCCCGTTGCGTTGTTATTTACATCCATGTATAATCATGAATTAATTCAAATAGTAAATATATACATATATGGCTGTCTCTCTTTTTGGTATTTTATATAATCACTATTTTGTCTTTCTTTTGATGTTGGGATAATATTATCTGGTGCCCAAGTAACAGTAATTAACACTTATCTCACACTTTAACATCCATCTATTAAATGCTTTCAAATGTATGATTATTTCATAAATATTCCTCATTAAAATAAACCACTAAAAGTGTGTTTTACAAAATCCTTTATGGTCTACAATTAATTAAAACTTTTAATTTTGACTTCTTCCAGTTTACTTTGATACAATTTTGACCTTCTATCTTAAAGGAATAGTACACCCAAAACATGATTAGCCTTCATTTTCTACTCACCCCCATGCTGAACAACACTCTGGAGTACTTTTTTGATATC